ACGGGATGGAATGGAGTTGACTAAAGAGGAGGGGGATTTTCCAGTCAGACAATATCAATAACATAGACAATCTATTCTGGCACAGACACACCTTAGAGGCGTCCAGTGTAAACCAGCTCAATTGCTGTTAATCTTATATGTTCGCTGTTCTTTCACAACAGAGTGTATGTCTGCTATGGTGACTTTAAATAGTATATATGTGCGTATGCATGTTTTGTTCCCAAATTGGGTTATTTATTCTTTCAGTTACGAAATGTCTTATAACACGTTTGGTACATGGTGAAATAGGTATTTCATTTCAGAATACCCTTGCTCTAAAAGGCTTGTATAAAGAGCCTTCATGTGAAAATGTGTCAGGAACAATGTACAAAAACCCTAATAACATTAAGTGATGTGAACTACTCCTTAACCCTACCCTACCCTTTACCCCTTAACCCGATATAGGCCATGAGACTGCTACTAAAAGTCAAGGTGTGCTCGGTATTTACAAGCGGAGAGAGAAAAGGGCCTCATTCATCCCTCTGCATTGCGCGGTGCTTTAGTAGCCATGGCAGGGCCGTTTAACATCCTCTGGCCTCCGTCTTCACAGAGCTCTGTCAGCAAACACACCGCTACAGAGCACACTGCCACAGTAGAGCAGCTAGCACTGTTTGGTTCTCTGTGTGTGAGGCTGGGCCTTAGGGCTCAGTATTTCATAAGCCACAATCTGCACACACTCAGCTCCACTCAGTACCAAGGTTGGGGTCAATTCCATTTCAATTCCAGTTAATTCAGAAAGTAAACCAAATTACAATTACACATTTTCCTTCTTGAAAAGCTTTGTAGAGAATTTGAATTTCAGCGTACTTCCTGAATTGGCTGGAATTGAAATGGAATTGACCCACAACACTGCTCAATACCAAGGTTTCCAGTCTCCATTCAACAGGCAGGTAGAGTAAAAGGAGACACTTTCAGTTTGTACGTACTGCAGTATTTACAAAGCAGCATAAAAACATACCTCATCTCCCTCCTACACACTTTTTGTAACATATAGTTGGTATATTTATGATCAATTCCTTCCACAGAAAGCTAAGAACGGACACAAAGGTGCCCAATGTTTCATGTGACAAAAAGAATAGCCAGATGTGAATGTATTTTTTATATACTCACTCTTCACCATGTTTATTGTATCTAGAACAACATCAACATTAACAAAAACAACAACAATTGGAATATTAACAGGTTTGAGCGGAATATAAAACAACTTTACATTACAATTTAAAATAAAAAATGTCTTCATTCGCTCACACATGCATACATACTTACAAAGTAAATGGAAATATATTATTTAATTGATACTTAGCACATACAGGTCAGGCATTTGCTACTTATTAATTATGGCCACCAAGTGGTTACTCAACTGCATCTAACTATACAACTGCAGATCAAATATCAGAAATCAAAATAATATTATTCAAGCATAGTCTAATTCAAGCACAGTGCCTTTCCCATTCCAATTTCAAGATCATGCTAAATAATACAAAAATATTCCTCTTCTTTAATGGATTTGTCATATCGATACAAATACCCAATTTGTAAGTCCCTCTGGATAAGAGCGTCTACTAAATGACTTAAATGTAAATGTAAAAAATACATTGTCATGTAATAATGCTCAGTAAATGCCTCTGTTACAGAAGTTTTGGGTAAAATAAATCCTCTTTTACAAATGATTTCCAAACATATAACACCCTAAATAACCAAAGGAACACATTAAGTTTTGAGAGGAATGCTGCTCAATTTGATAAAAATGACAATCTACAACACTTACTACCACAACAACTAGTTGAGATTGTTGTAGTTTACAGTACTTCAAGAGACAAGAGGAAATACCTCAGAATCTTACATTCCATGGAATGATTTAACCCCTGTGGAGACAGGAAGAGAGAGATGAACATTGAGAAATATGTAGTCTCAAATCATATTTACAGTGCATTCGGAAAGTATTCAGACCCCTTCCCATTTTCCACATTTTGTTACGTTACAGCCTTATTCTAAAATGGATTAAATAAAGATAAATACATTGATTCAACATGATTTGGAAAGGCACACACCTGTCTAAATAAGGTCCCACAGTTGACAGTGTACAGTTGTGGTCAAACGTTTTGAGAATTACACAAATATTAATTTTCACAAAGTCTGCTGCCTCAGTTTTTATGATGACAATTTGCATATACTTCAGAATGTTAAGAAGAGTGATCAGATGAATTGCAATTAATTGCAATGTCCCTCTTTGCCATGAAAATGAACTTAATCCCCCAAAAACATTTCCACTGCATTTCAGCACTGCCACAAAAGGACCAACTGACATCATGTCAGTGATTCTCTCGTTAACACAGGTGAGAGTGTTGACAAGGATGAGGCTGGAGATCACTCTGTCATGCTGATTGAGTTAGAATAACAGACTGGAAGCTTTAAAAGGAGGGTGGTGCTTGAAATCATTGTTCTTCCTCTGTTAACCATGGTTACCTGCAAGGAAACACGTGCCGTCATCATTGATTTGCACAAAAAGGGCTTCACAGGCAAGGATATTGCTACTAGTAAGATTGCAATTAAATCAACCATTTATCGGATCATCAAGAACTTCAAGGAGAGTGGTTCAATTGTTGTGAAGAAGGCTTCAGGGCGCCCAAGAAAGTCCAGCAAGCGCCAGGACCGTCTCCTAAAGTTGATTCAGCTGCGGGATCGGGGCACCACCAGTGCAGAGCTTGCTCAGGAATGGCAGCAGGCAGGTGTGAGTGCATCTGCACGCACAGTGAGGCAAAGACTTTTGGAGGATGGCCTGGTGTCAAGAAGGGCAGCGAGGAAGCCACTTCTCTCCGGGAGAAACATCAGGGACAGACTGATATTCTTCAAAAGGTACAGGGATTGGACTGCTGAGGACTGGGGTAAAGTCATTTTCTCTGATGAATCCCCTTTCCAATTGTTTGGGGCATCCGGAAAAAAGCTTGTCCGGAGAAGACAAGGTGAGCGCTACCATCAGTCCTGTGTCATGCCAACAGTAAAGCATCCTGAGACCATTCATGTGTGGGGTTGCTTCTCAGCCAAGGGAGTGGGCTCACTCACAATTTTGCCTAAGAACACACCCATGAATAAAGAATGGTACCAACACATCCTCCGAGAGCAACTTCTCCCAACCATCCAAGAACAGTTTGGTGACGACCAATGCCTTTTCCAGCATGATGGAGCACCTTGCCATAAGGCAAAAGTGATAACTAAGTGGCTCGGGGACCAAAACATCGACATTTTGGGTCCATGGCCAGGAAACTCCCCAGATCTTAATCCCATTGAGAACTTGTGGTCAATCCTCAAGAGGCGGGTGGACAAACAAAAACCCACAAATTCTGACAAACTCCAAGCATTGATTATGCAAGAATGGGCTGCCATCAGTCAGGATGTGGCCCAGAAGTTACTTGACAGCATGCCAGGGCGGATTGCAGAGGTCTTGAAAAAGAAGGGTCAACACTGCAAATATTGACTCTTTGCATAAACTTAATGTAATTGTCAATAAAAGCCTTTGACACTTATGGAATGCTTGTAATTATACTTCAGTATACCATAGTAACATCTGACAAAAATATCTAAAAACATTGAAGCAGCAAACTTTGTGAAGACCAATTCTTATGTAATTCTCAAAGCTTTTGACCACGACTGTATATCAGAGCAAAAACCAAGCCATGAGGTCAAAGGAATTGTCTGTAGAGCTCCGAGACCAGATTGTGTCAAGGCACAGATCTGGGGAAGGGTACCAAAAAATGTCTGCAGCATTGAAGGTCCCCAAGAACACAGTGGTCTCCATCATTCTTAAATAGAGTTCCTCTGTGGAGATTGGAGAACCTTCCAGAAGGACAACCATCTATACTGCAGCACTCCACCAATCCGGCCTTTATGGTAGAGTGGCCAGACGGAAGCCACTCCTCAGTAAAAGGCATATGACAGCCCGCTTGGAGTTTGACAAAAGGCACCTAAAGAACTCTCAGACCATGAGAAACAAGATTCTCTGGTCTGATGAAACCAAGATTTAGCTATTTGGCCTGAATGCCAAGCATCACGTCTGGAGGAACCCTGGCACCATCCCTACGGTGAAGCATGGTGGTGGCAGCATCATGCTGTGGGGATGTTTCTCAGCGGCAGGGACTGGGAGACTAGCCAGGATTGAGGGAAAGACGAACGGAGCAAAGTACAGAGAGATCCTTGATGAAAACCTGCTCCAGAGCACTCAGGACCTCAGACTGGGGCGAAGGTTCACCTTCCAACAGGACAATGACCCTAAGCAAACAGTCAAGACAATGCAGGAATGGCTTCAGGACAAGTCTCTGAATGTCCTTGAGTGGCCTAGCCAGAGCCCGGACTTGAACCCGATTGAACATCTCTGGAGAGACCTGAAAATAGCTGTGCAGCGACGCTCCCCATCCAACATGACAGAGCTTGAGAGGATCTGCAGAAAGTAATGGGAGAAACTCCCCAAATACAGGTGTGCCAAGCTTGTAGTGTCATACCCAAGAAGACTCGAGGCTGTAATTGCTGCCAAAGGTGCTTCAACAAAGTACTGGGTAAAGGGTCTGAATACTTATGTAAATGTATATTTCATTTTTTTGATTTTGTATACATTTGCTAGAAGGTCTAAAAACCTGTTTTTGCTTTGTCATTGTGGGGTATAGTGTGTCGACTGATGAGGGGGAAAAAAAACAATTTAAAATCTATTTTAGAATAAGGCTGTAACGTAACAAAATGTGCAAAAAGGAAGTGGTCTGAATACTTTCAGAATGCACTGTATGCTATTATATTCATTTTAATGCTATTACAATTACCAAAAATATCTATATTTGCCATCCAGACTCTATTTTATTGCACTTACGTGCCCTTTGGGATGGTAAAAACTGTGCAGGGCTGAGACCTTGATATCTATGACATCATGGCCAATCACAGAGAATATATGATATATTTGCCAATCACAGAGAATCTTACCTGGTTACCCGACAGTTCCGTGTTTGAACCTGAGTACCTGTGTATGTGACATCACATCTCACCACATTGTTGGAATAGTCCGACTCTTGTACATGATAACTGGGGTTGACTGTGACCTAAGAAAATAAAGACTTGTGTGAACAACACTGCTTAGATGAGATGGCCAAAGCATATACAGATTAGACTAGGCAAAAAAATTATACTATTTAAAGTTTATCATTACCAAACAGATAGTTGCTGTTGTAAGCTTTAGAGATATCAAATCAAATGTTTTATTTGTCACATGCACCGAATACAACTGGTGTAGACTTTACCGTGAAATGTTTGCTTGCGAGCCCTTCCCAACAATACAGAGACAATAATCATATAATGTAGCTACCCTCAGGACGTAGTTTCCTGTAGGAACATCAGTGATGTCGATCCACTGACAGTCAATATTTGCAGCATAGGTATCATGACATCCTGGACTCAGCCCCTGTTCAACACAAAACACAGTTATAGCAAAATGTGGATCATATTCGCCTTTTGTTACATCAGTAGGGGCCCTAAGTACTTTGTGTAGTACCCGTGCCATACGTACCTGTCTATGGGCTATAACTGTATATTCACGAAATGGCATGATGTTATGTTTCTATATATGTAGTGCAGTACTCACCTGTGTATGTGCTGTGCATGCATAGCGGCGTCTGAATCCAGCATCACAGCCCGTGTCCTCCAGACAGAAACTGGCCTTGTGTCCCTCTGCCACCTTCCTTCCTGTTGTGACCTCCAGCAGATCATAGTTACTGAAGGCATCCATACTGTGGTAGTGTCTGGGGCAGGAGAAAGGAGGGAGTTTTTACATACAGAACCAGTAAACAATTTGGACACACCTACTCATTCAAGGGTTTTTCTTTATTTTGACTATTTTCTACATTGTAGAATAATAGTGAAGACATCAAAACTATGAAAAAAACACATATGGAATCATGTAGTAACCAAAAAAGTGTTAAACAAATCAATATATATTTTAGATTTTAGATTCTTCAAAGTAGCCACCCTTTGCCTTGATGACAGCTTTGCACACTCTTGGCATTCTCTCAACCAGCTTCACCTGGAATGCTTTTCCAACAGTCTTGAAGGATTTCCCACATATGCTGAGCACTTGTTGGCTGCTTTTCCTTCACTCTGCGGTCCAACTCATCCCAAACCATCTCAATTGGGTTGAGGTCGGGTGATTGTGGAGGCCAGGTCATCTAATGCAGCACTCCATCACTCTCCTTATTGGTCAAATAGCCCTTACATAGCCTAGAGGTGTGTTGGTCATTGTCCTGTTGAAAAACAAATGATAGTCCCACTAAGCGTGAACCAGATGGGATGGCATATCGCTGCAGAATGCTGTGGTAGCCATGCTGGTTAAGTGTGCCATGAATTCTAAATAAATCACAGACAGTGTCACCAGCAAAGCACCCCCACACCATCACACCTCCTCCTCCATGCTTTACGGTGGGAACCACACATGCGGAGATTATCCGTTCACCTACTCTGCGTCTCACAAAGACACGGCGGGTTGGAACCAAAAATATCAAATTTGGACTCATCAGACCAAAGGACAGATTTCCACTTGTCTAATGTCCATTGCTCGTGTTTCTTGGCCCAAGTAAATCTCTTCTTCTTATTGCAGTAATTCGACCATGAAGGCCTGATTCACACAGTCTCCTCTGAACAGTTGATGTTGAGATGTGTCTGTTACTTGAACTCTGTGAAGCATTTATTTTGGCTGCAATTTCTGAGGCTGGTAACTCTAACGAACTTATCCTCTGCAGCAGCAGAGGTAACTCTGGGTCTTCCTTTCCTGTGGCGGTCCTCATGAGAGCCAGTTTCATCATAGCGCTTGATGGTGTTTGTGACTGCACTTGAAGAAACTCAAAGTTCTTGACATTTTCCGTATTGACTGACCTTCATGTCTTAAAGTAATGATGGACTGTCGTTTCTCTTTACTTATTTGAGCTGTTCTTTCCATAATATGGACTTGGTCTTTTACCAAATAGGGCTGTCTTCTGTATACCACCCCTACCTTGTCACAACACAACTGATTGGCTCAAATGCATTAAGAAGGAAAGAAATTCCACAAATGCATTCCAGGTGACTACCTCATGAAGCTGGTTGAGAGAATGCCAAGCGTGTGCAAAGCTGTCATCAACGCAAAGGGTGGCTACTTTGAAGAATCTCAAATATAAAATATATTTTGATTTGTTTTTCACTTTTTTGGTTACTACATGATTCCATATGTGTTATTTCATCATTTTGATGTCTTCACTATTATTCTACAATGTAGAAAATAGTAAAACTAAAGTAAAACCCTGGAATGAGTAGGTACTGTATATACCATCGTTGTGCAGTAAAACCATGAAAAGTTGTGCACCTAAGCTGAAATCTGGTGTTTGGAGGGTGTTTGAATGTAAACCCAATGTAACTGTTATGATACACAGAATGTGTTTCAAAACAGAATGGATGTACTCTGAAACATCGAAAGTGGTTCTACTTTTTTAAAGAAAGTGTTGTGAAAACACTTTTTGGTGTTTCAGTGCATCAAAACACAAACAGAATATTTAGGCAGAGTGTGTCTCTCATTCAATCATTTATGCTATTGGTTTATAGAATACATATTGATTGATGATTTTCATTCAATATTTTGATTAACAATTTAAAGAAGACACTGGGTCTCCTGCTTGTCGAAACACTGCCTGAGTCCACTAAGCCACTGGTCCTCTGTAGCTCAGCTGGTAGAGCACAGCGCTTGTAACGTCAAGGTAGTGGGTTCGATCCCTGAGACCACCCATACACAACAAATGTTGCACGCATGACTGTAAGTCGCTTTGGATAAAAGCGTCTGCTAAATGGCATATTATTATTATTATTAAGCCAGTCTTCAGGACTAAATTGGTGTGCTTAACCAGCCTTGTTAAACTGAGCACATGGGGCCCGATTCAGACTTGAAATAAGTAGACTTAACATGGACTCAATGAAATATGGATTTAAGTCCAACGTTAGATAAATTTATTTTAAATCTGAATAGAGCCTATAGAGAATATTTTTCTCCATAGGCTCTGTGCTCTGTGCTTTGTTTAGACATATTAGAAACAGGAGGAGCCGGAGAAGGAGTGAAAGTTGGACAGGCAGAAGTGGGAAATTAACCCCCGACTGCTAAGGGATGACACATTTATTTGGAATTTTACCCACTCATCCACACAGCCACGTACCGTGTGAGGAACCTGGGCCCCAATATCAGAAGCAAACTCACCCAGTCTGAGGCATGGAGGTGGAGAGAGGGCATGCGTGGCAGGTGTGCCCTCTAGCAAACACTATGGTTAAGTATGAAAACGGGTCCTTCACAAACTCAGACAGTTGAGAGCACACCAAACGCGCAAATGAAACTCTCCAAAACAATCCAAGAAAGTATGTCAATGAAAATGTGAGTACAAAAAGTTATCACTAGCGATGGGAAACTGAGGCTTTCTTTAGGCTTCGGCGCTTTCACCAAATTGTGCCGGCAAAAACTGTTCATTACTCTGAACTTCATTTTCTGTTCACGATACACATTTGTGACATCTGTTGGTCAGCAATAAATAGCAGCGTGTGATTATCAGAGATGGTTTTTTCTCCCCTTTTTTTCATCAAAACTCCTTGGCTAAAATGTTTTGCTCACAAGGTGGGGTGGCCCCTCCAACAAAATGTCACTTAGGGCCCCCAAAAAGCTAGGACCGGCTCTGACTGCATGTGTGGGTAAGGATGTGGGTGCGCAGACCCGCGAGCCACTGTTGCCCCTCATAATGAGTTCAGATTTTGTGGCACCCACCCCCATCAAAGTTGCCCATCCCGGCATTAGCATAATGGATGACTGGTAGATCATATTGAGCCCTGGGCTGAAGTTTGTGAAGTGCTACTACTAACAAGTTTTGTATAAGTGCTACTGCTAACATTAGCAGTCATTAGACAGGTGTCCATTGACCCAGGTTTATTCGATAAAAGCAATGTCGCAAATGATGATGGAAACTGTGTTTTTAGAATAAATGATGATTGCTGAATAATTTTGAAGGTATGCAGGGCATGTGATGTCATCACGTTACTATAAAGCTCCACTCCACATTTAATTTGAAATGCCTACTGCTTGCTAAATCTATTTTTCAACTATAAAAATGTTTATTTGCAGGACAAGGATTGTCTTGACTTCAAAAATGCCTGAATTGCTTCGCCTTGCTTTTCTGGTTGGTTGGATGCAAGTTTCACCATCTAATTATTTCAGATTTACAGTTGTGCAAGTTTCACCATTGCACGGGCCCTGGCGATACGTTTGACAAATATTTGTCAAATCTTACATTCTTTCCATGCTGGCTTTTGCGGGTTACCTGAACATGAAACAGATAGATGGGAGGGTATACAGGCTGTCACCAATTAATGAATGTGCAGTTTGTCTTAGTAGATAATGGAAACACTTCAACCACTTATTTTTTATTCAACACACTTTTTTGGGGTACCATTACGTCCAACAGTTTTTATCGACACGACAGTTCAATGGAAATGCACCGTAGCAGGCAATTGTCACATCTGTTTGTCAACTTTCTAAATGTTGACAAAAAAATCACTGGAAAGGTTAATGGAAACATAGCTACTGCCTGTATTTATTTTCCATGAATGTAAAATATAATGGCATATTTCCGTTGATTTTTATGAATATTAATATGATGAATACCATACAGATCTTTGAATTGTCTTTATCAATACACAAATTGAAAGACCTGTTAAGGTTTTGACATGTGATAATTTGCAGAGAAAAGGTAAATCATTTGAAGCTTCAAAATCATGTCTTGAAAAAGTAATTTTGTACTCATTAATCATTATCCTGGACAAATGTATTAATTTGTGTTTTCACAAAACTATATTTTCTTGTGTCCTTTGTTTGAGTATAATACATTTGACCTTTTGGTATTACCAATGAGGAGTTTATAAACACACCATATAAGAGCAGGGAATATACAATAGGAAGAGGAACTCCCATTTACAGTATCTGGAAACTCCAGAAGGAATCTAATTCTGCACTAGACAGGAATCGAAACACCATGATAGTGTTTTCAACCTTTTCCGGCATAGTGCTCCCAGTCTCTTGCAAGGTGTTGCACAACTCTTGATTATGTGGTGTTACAACACACCATGTCATGTTTCAGAACACCTGAGGATGAATGTTACAGTACACCTTAAATCTGTCCCAATACCCTCACAACCATGTGTTTTCATACTCCAGCAAAGTCAAGGTTTTGTCTTCTTTAAGGTGGTGGCAGCTGAGTTTCCACTAGTTTTAGTGTTACAAAGCATGTCATTTTAACAGTGTACATAACTGTGATAATGTCTGAGGCAGGATAGAGGAGAGGGTAGTAACGATAGTACAGGAGTAGATGATGTATACTAATCTTATAAAATAAGTTCAGAAAAAGATTCTGGACAAAAATGATTTTGTCTATAGTTCCAGTCTTCCAATAGTATATGGAGATTATGAATATGCGGTTGAACATTTATGAAATGTCCCTTTAAGTAACCTTTTGTCTTATGTAACCATACGAAATGTAACATATCATACTAATTGGAGTGTCTTGGATTTACATGTACTATGTTACGTCTATCCCTGAGTCCAGGTTGAGTTGTTATACAATACCTGACTGGCCAGTTACTATAGCCTGTCAGGAGTGACTAATTCCAATGGAATGAGGGAGAGCTAGTTCTTTCTACTTCCTATATGCAATTTACTTGGATTTACTTACTGGTGACAGCTGTGCCATTCCCACTGGTGTCTTGGTTTGACCGGAAGGAAGTCAGTGGTGCCTTGGTTCTTGACTTTCTGGGGGAAGCGGAGCAGTACTCTGTAGTCTATGTCCCTGGCTGTGCTCGCTGATCTGGGAGAGACCACATATGGAAAGATACATTAACTGTCATCCTATCAGATCATGTAAACATTTGCAATGGTCAAAATTAGTACATTTTACGTTTATTGGCAGTGGAAAACAGTGGTAGCTAAGTGAGATCCTGTTTGTTGCTTATTGAGTCACAAATTACCAGTTGAAAACATTATTTACATTAACAAGATATAACTGCAGGAATTTAAGAGACAATGGGATAATGCTGATTGTTTTCTTAAAGTGTATGTATTGTGGATGAAGAGATATACAGAACATATACTGTGAAAAACATAGCACACAAAGCCAGTTGCATGGGCACTTATAGCTTACCTCGCCAAACAGTTCTCCTCAGCTGCACAGCGCAGCGAGTACATCTGCATCCGCTGGATGTAGGCACCAGCCTGGATGGCATACGGGTCTGGGACGAGGTCTGGGAGCCCTTGGGAAAGATATAACGGCATTAAATATGGCTTTATAAGCGCTTATAACTGTTGCACCAGGAAAATGTACTATTCTACACACGCGCCAATTAGCATACCCACCATTCTGGAAATATCTGGTTCCATATCCAGTGCCAGGAGCTGGCGCCGGGGGACGCCGCGTGCGCACTACCGGCGTTCTGCCTCTGGAGGGGTACATGTTGTAGAAAACGGAATTCCGGTGGTTTTTAAAAGGGTTCCTAGGGTCGTCCGAGACCATGTCCTCGCCATTACTCGCTGCCTCGATCGACGTCAAAGCACCGTTAACGGGTCTGCGTACTGGAGGAGCATCCCTACCGTTAGGGACGACATTACCTGAGTTGGAATGTTCCGTTAGTGCGGTTTGCCTGGAAACAGATGCTCCCGGCTCAGCGCGCATCTGTTGGTATTCTCCACCCGTCACAGGCACTACCTCGCTTCCCCGGGATGGAGAGGCAGGAACCCCCGAGCGAGCATCCCCGGTAGCATCCTGAGTGACTGGCGCTCCTCTCCTCGGTACCCCGCTACCGGAGAACTCGGGGAGCAGCGCGTGGACGGAGGCGTTGACTCGGTATGTGTACTCTGGAGAGTAGCGCCTTGCGCCAGGGGACCCCGCCACTCCCGCTCGGTATGGAACCTCAGGTTGCTGCCTGGCGCCTGACTGCCGAGCATTGGGCACCATATACTGCCCATTGTCATGTCCCAGAGCTACAGATCCAGGATCTAGAACATTGTTGGTTTGGTCCCGTAAATGTCCCGCGCCTAAGTTCGATTCCACTCGTCCAGATCTTATGTGAGCCACTCTGCCTTCCCGCGTTCCAGGCTGCGTCTGACCGGTGCCATCCCTCCTAGTGCTCACATATACCGTGGACTGGCTCCTCGGGCGCGCCGGCGGGTGATACTCTGACCCGGTGCTCATTAGACTGTACACCTGACCGTTATTCTCCCACTGAATCCTCTGCCGCCAAGGCCCTACTCGCTCACGCGGTGGATGCTGCTGTCCAGTAATAAGATGAGCCAGTCCTTGGAGGAGGTAAAAGAGTAAAACCGACCACTTCGCCATAACTGTTAATTTAAACGTACTAAACCCTCTCTAAAACCCACTACAACATTAAACAAAATGCCTACTCTATGACATGTAGGCCTATATTGCAGAGAGTAGGTTAAGGTGGGTCTGTGGAGGAGATAAAAGTTCTGAGGAGGAGCGCGCGCACTATCCGTTTTAATGAGTACGCCTACGCAGCATAGCCTGCCAGTTTTCTTTGCACGCGGCACTACTGACAGTTGGAGAGGACAGGAAGATTGGAATTCTCAGACATTTTATAAAAATGGGCTAGTTTATTTACGCATGCACAGAAAGCCTGAGGTTCGAGAGAAAAGTCTTAACTCTTTCCTCCCTGTGAAGTTCAGTTACACAAGGCTTATCCTTTAGCTTACACAAGCCTTGAGTTTACTTAGCGAACTTTACGCAGTGGTGTCATTTGGGGTCATCTGAATAGTAACATCACTTTTTTATGCTTCTCATTATCAATTTGGGCAATATTTTAATAAATTGATACAAATACAAGGAAGTGTTTTATGTGTCACTGATTTCTACTTTTTTATACATTTGGCAAATGTTTTTCATAAAATGATCCAATAGCAAGCTACCCATTATAAGAAAGAAGAATTGCACTCAACAACCTAAAAATAATAACTACTGTCCCTCTTTTCTAAACTAAGAAATATACATTGTTTAATCTCATTACCAAATGCTAAAGAATGAAAATGGTTTCAGGAGAGACTAGGCCTATCTATTAAATTAGATTTTCCCTGCTTTTATACACTATATCTTTCTTCAGTGCATTGATATTGGTTGTTCAATCACAAAATAGGCCTAACCAACGTATCTACAAATATTTCATTGTGAACAATACAGTAGGCTGATATACAGTAGGCTGATATACCTATCCAAGTGCTGACATTTCTAAACCCTCTCTCAACCGTCTGTCTGTCTGTACACACCAATAAGCCCTGGTATGGGAGAGCATAGCCATGGGGTGGCAGTGTACATCTGTGTTTGAGACACCTGTCAGGACATGCTGTCACAGTGTTTCGGTTAGGCTACAATGTCCAGTTGCATTGAAACATTGTCACAATTCGACCTTGGACTTTCCAAATGGCTATTCATAATACAGCGCCTAATGACACATTAAGTTAATATTGAAATAGAATCAAATCAATCACACATATCCTGTTAATTTTGCTTGAGGCAGACTACAATGACTACTACATATTCACTACAATGATACAGTTGATACTGGGGTCTGTGGATACATTCTTATGTGGAAAATATTTTGATATGGTAGGCTACATCAGATCAATGGAATTGAATATCTCCTACACAATTTGATTATTGGTCAGTTGGCACCTTGGAGAGACCAGGAGAAGTCAGTGCGTAAACGCATGCGTAATGGTCATTTTATAGGCTGCTGGCCTATTTCTGGCAAAATAAATCTGTAGCAAAATGTGCAGCTGAGGAGAACTGTTTGGCGAGGTGCCCATGCAACTGGCTTTGTCCGCAATTTTTCACTGTATATGTTCTTTATATCTCTTCATCCACAATACATACACTTTCAGAAATAATTTCTGCATTATCCCATTGTCTTGCAGATTCAGAGTGTTTAATAGTCACATGTACAGGGTTGCAGGTGTGATTGCAGGGTACAGTGAAAATCTTAGGCTCTGAACTCCTACATGCAGGACTAAGTGAAATAAAATAATGAAAAGGCAATAAATAAAAAATTGAAATAGAAATAGTACTATATACATCATAACAATTGCAGTAGTGATGAATAAATAAATGCCCATTGGGGAGGAGGCAGAATAAAGACTGTTGAGGGGTGGGGGGAAATGACCAGTGTGGTGACCAAGTGAAATAAAAATTATTATAATAAAAAGTAATAATATACATATTAACAACTGCAACAGTGATGAATGTCGTTGGGTGGGGGCAGAGTAAAAGTCCAGTGTGTGTGTGTGTGTGGGGGGGGGGATATCCATAGGGGGAGCAGCAGGTAAGGTAAGTGACCATTGAGGGGGTGGGGTGGAGGGGGTGAGGTGAGGTGAGGGGGTGGTGTCCATAGGGGGAGTAGCAGGGGGAGGGGGAACAAGGTAGCTGACAAGTGGTGGCTTTTCAGCAGGCTGATGGTCTGAGGGTAGAAACTATTGGCCAGTCTTCCAGTTTTTGCCATGATGCTTCTGTACTGCTCGTGTCTGAGTGATTGAAGCTGGGAGAACAGGCCATGGCTTGGGTGGCTGGGGTCCCTGAAGATCATCTTGGCCTTCCTGCGACACCTGGTGTTGTAGGTGTCCTGTAGGGAAGGCAGTGTGCACCCAATGGTGTGTTCGGCTGCACGTATCACCCTCTGAAGCGCCTTGCAGTCCGAGGCGGTGGAGTTGCCATACCAGGCTGTGATGCAGCCCGACAGTACGCTCTTGATGGTGCTCCTGTAGGGCACTGTGAGGGCCCTCAGGGACAGGATGAATTTCGTCAGCCTCCTGAGGTTTAAGAATCACTCTCGTACCTTTTTCACCACTGTGTCTGTGTGGTTAGACCATTTCAGCTTCTCTGAGATATGTATGCGAATTTGAAGTTATTTTCCTCGGCCAACACAATCTCACACTCAATTCGTGCAAATATGTACAAAAAGTATTTCAGCAGATTTTGTGCATTTCTGTGTGGCTTAATTAATGTGAAAATACATTCTTTTTTGTGTGACTTAATTCATAGGAAACTACATTTTGGGGGGGGCAAACTTGATGGGCAATGGTGTTCTACATTGCCTTTTTTACGTTTTTATATTTTTTATTAATGCCAATACTGTTTTCTATGCTTGTTTTCGCTTAATACTTTGGGATACTGGTGCACTTGTAGTCAGAAAGACCCTTTTTTTGTGTAAGTAACAGTAGGCCTACACAACTTTCTTCATAACACATTTCATATTCTGTGGAGCCTACATTACACAATTGTCTTCATAATGCATTTAATACAAGACTATGTAGAATTTTATGAGGGTTGCCAGATTGGAGAAAAATACAGATTCTTTTTTGTTGTGGTATCGTGGTATCGATGAAGGTATTTGATTGGGGAATGGAGATACAGTTTTATGATGGGAAATTATAAAACACACCATAATACACACACACACAAACACATATGCACACACTCACTTTATTTGAACTCATATTATAGCCAAATCTTGACTTTTGTATGAATTATGTTTTATCAAATCTAGTTGTCATATATTCATTATCTTTAACTGGTTAAGTGTTTGTAGTTTGCATGTTTCAGTAATGACTAACAGGGTTAAATAGTTGTAAATCGCTGCTTGATTTAGCTTTTGGTATTTTTGGCATTTTTATACATATTCTGTATTTCCACTGAAGAAAGCAATAATTAATCAACACACTACTGTAAATAAATGGACACTACCTGTTATAAAGTGGAAATATCTCTCCGTACATAAGTGGTGAGAAATGCCATTCGGCTATGGGTTTCACAGTCCTATAATAACGATACAAGTTATATCAGTTTAAAAAGGGTTTATTTACAACCTATGGGGTATAAGATCTTGGGAATAGTGGTATGTGAGAGTTTGAAATTAATTAAATACCCTAACCATAAGCTATGTTCAATGTCAGCAGCAATTTCCAGTGATAAATGCTCAATCTGAAGCCATTCGGCTATTGGTTTCACAGCCCTATAATAATAATACAAGTAATCGCGGTTTGGTGGGCCATGTTTCGGAGGACGCATGACTAGACCTTCGCCTCTCCAGAGCCCGTTGGGGAGATGCAGCGATGAGACAAGATCGTAATTGGATTTGACGAAATTGGGGAGAAAAAGGGGTGTAAAATAAAAAACAAAAAATAAATAAAAATAATAACGATACAAGTTATATCACCTTACAAAGGGTTTATTTACAACCTATGGGGTATAAGATGTTGGGAATAGTTGCATAGGAGAGGCTGAAATTAATAAAATACCCTAACCATAAGCTATGTTCAATGTCAGCAGCAACTTCCAGTGAGAAATGCTCAGTCTGAAGCCATTCGGCTTTGGGTTTCACAGCCCTATAATAATAATACAAGTTATATCACCTTACAAAGGGTTTATTTACAACCTATGGGATATAACATGTTGGGCAAAGTGGTATAGGAGATTCTGACATATAACCCCTAACTTGAGTTCAGTCTTCGCCATTGAGAAACAAGAGGGGCCTAGCTTCGTCCTTCATGACTGGGAAAGGCCTCAATTCCAGGCCGTAGAAAATCCTACATCCATCTCATTAGATCAGAACAGGATGGATCAACAGTGATTCATATTTTTAAAAAAGAAAAAAAAGGATAGTTGTGTTTTGCTGCATAACACACATTATTTGTCTACCCATATGATGTGGATCATTGTCAGCTCATTTGACATATACACTTCAGTAACAAAATAATACCATGGTTGTAATAACACTTTAAACAGGTAGTTTGTAAATGTGTAGAATGTGTTTGTTTTGGGTCTACACTGGTTAGTTAACTTATTAGACAGTCACAGGGCATAGCACTTTCCATTCAGCTTCAGGCAACTTTGATGTAAGGCTTGATCCCACCTGTAGTGACTACTTCTATCCGTCACGCCCATTTTTGCTTATCCATTGTTAACTAGATATATTAATTTAATTACACCCAACAAAATGTTGAAAAACAGAATGCTTCCCACCACTAGATCAAATAACTAGACGTGAGCTGGACTTGATTCAACGCTGACACCAATGTAGCGGAAGAAAGTGAAAGCTGCAACAGGGACTCTAACCAGGGCTCATACGTGGCAAAATGAGCTCTAACGGCCGTTGCCATGAAAGTCTAGTAGGCCTCTGGGCAGAGGCAGTAGGCCTACAATGCTGGCATATGCCTTGATACAATAGCCTAAGTATATAACATGATTGACACGACCGTAATAATCATAATGAAATGGCCTTGGAAGTGCCATAAGTGTAAGCCAACATAATTCATTATTTTACATTAACCTGTTTAACTGCATTGATATGGCTTAATTGATCATAGTCCAGATTCGTTATAGTTGCAAATACCATGCATTTGCACCAGGGGAATTGAAACCAAACAGATTTTTTTTGCAGGTCTTCCCGTTTCCCCACATTTATTGATGAATTAATTTCTCATCATGAAAATGTATCCCCATTCCCCAATCAAATACCTTCATCGATACAGCAAAAAACCCCAGACAAATACAG